GGGGAGTGGCCATTCACCATCCACCTGCTGATTCTGATTATTTGGATGGGTGAGCGAATACTTTTGGCAATATAGTGTATGTCCATCAAGGGGCAAAATTTGACATTATCCAAACAGCCCTTTTATTTTTGTGGTTTAGAAACTCTGTTTTGGTTTAGGGATGGATTCAATGGGGAAAAAATTATTTGGATGAAAATTTGCCTGAATTTTAAGAGAAAAATGAGGAATGTGTAATGAAGTCTAGCTTGTTTGTGAAATATTTAATGAGATAAATGAAGCCACATGCTAGTAAGAACCATAAGGCATAGTTATATATTTAAATTAGCCAGGAAATATGTGTGCATAATTTCTGTTTCTTTTATGTAGCTTTGTAGAATGGAAGAAAGGAAGTAACACTTATTGTTTATCCTTATAAAGTGCCATTTAGTTACATTTTTTTCTCTCACATACAATGCATAAGTTATATTTGTGTAACTTCCTCTTTTAGAAGCATTAAAGTTGCCAAAGTCATTTTCCCAAAAAACCCTGAGTGATTCTCTCTTTTTTACTTTCTCTATTCTTCTGTAATTTTACACTAAGCAGATACAATGAGGTTTTGGAAATAAGCAATTACAATGCTCAAATTTTCATTAGCAAATGGAAAAAGCCTCTGATGTATCTTTGGCCATAAGTAGCAAAAGTAAAAAAATGAAAAGTATAGCATTTAAAAACTTTATCTTCTCTCTGCTAAGAATCAGATTATGAAATATAAAATATAAATGACTGAATGCTTATGTTCATGGGATTTTTATGCCGGCATTGTGAGTTTCTTTTTCTTAAGAGTTCCAGGTTAACTATCCAATGAATTTGTAAATTATAATTATATAATTTTGTGTAAAGTAAAAGCATTATTGGTTCCTTATGAGGTCTATGTTATTTTAATTTAAAATGCTTCCTAACAACAGTATAGTTTAATGAATTTGATGTTTGTAATTGGTATCAATATAGTCCTTTCTTCACTTTATATTACTTGTGTATAATTGTAAGCAACATGTCCTTTAATTGATTCTTGTCCGTGAAATATAAAAATGAATACATTCTCATGCACATGTTTTTACAGTTTTATGAATGGTTGACAAATGAAAAATAAATAAATAAAAAGGAATATGAAAAGATTCTAATGTTACAATTTAAACTTTGTTGAATTTCCAGAAGTCCTTCAGTTTTCCCCCTAACATTAATGGTATCTTGTTGTGTATAAATAAAATGATTTTCATAATAAAAATATAAACTTAAATTTAAAATCAAAATTTTGAAAGAGATGGTAGAGATTAGCAATTCATTTCCTGGGTTTGAAGAAGACACATTGCTTGCTGTACAAAGTTTAATTTAATTCAATTTAAGTGATGTTCATAGGATTGCACATTTTACACTGTTCTGCTATATTTCTTTCCATTCAGGACCTTCTTTCTTCATGTTCTAATAGCTTGTTTTTTATCACTGATTTCTAAGTTATAGTTAACAGAACCTATATCTCTTAGGATTTGTAGGGCAACCTAACTATTAGCCAGAATGAAACAGCCATCCAAAGTAGTAGACATTTTGGAATATAGTAATGTGACAAGATACAGATGAAAAAGAACAGATGTGTCATAAGGACTGCCTTGTAAATCCTAAATTAATTTTCTGCCTTTAGTGTGGTGGAGAAAATTGTCCTATTTCAAGTGCTGAAGTAAAAAGGTTTAGGTGCAGCAATTGGCTTCTGAACAGGGAGGGATGCCATCTTCTTCTTTGCTTTATAGAATAATAGAATGTATGAGCTAGAAGAGCTCTTATTGGTTATGTTCTCAAATCTCTTGTTCATACTAAACCACCCTTGACAGATGACCCTTCAGCATCAATATGAAAGCTTCCAGGAAGAGGTGATTCACCTCTGTTCTAATCAGTGTTCTTTTGCTTGACAGCTCTTACCATCAGGAAAGCCTTCCTCATATTCAGCCCCAACTTCCTTCCTTTTGATTTTAACTAGTCTGCTCTTGTCCTGCCCTTGGATTCAACAAAGAACAGGAGCACTCTGTCATGCACATGATGTCCTTTTAGATATCTGTAAACAACTATTATATCTCCCCATAGTCTCCTCCTTTGCAGACTAAATACAGTATGTCCAACTTCTTTAACCATTTATCATAGGATGAAGTTTCTAAAACCCTTATTATCCGAGTAGAAATCCTTTGAACTTGCTAAAATGTCTCTGTGTCACTTTCAGTATTCAGAACTGGATGCTGTGTTTGAAGTGCAGTCTAACAAGCCAGAGTATAATTGGAACTGCTACCTTAGATAACTAGACCCAATAGTTTTATTAATGTAACACAGATTTTCATTATCCCTTTTAAATGCTGCATCACATCGCTTGCTCATAGTCAGCAAGTGATTCACTAGCACTCCCAAACCTTTTGGTTTTGCCAAAGGTGAATGCGGAAGCAGGAAAATAAGAGAAAAGGCTGAAGAATGCATTAGCACAGCATAGAAAAAGAATGACTTTGGCAGCAAAGCATAAAGTAAATAGAAAAATATCTACATGCAAGACGATAAAAAGATATGACAATGTTCAATAAAGGATTACAGGACAGAATTTCATGTCTCCTCAAATGGGAGGCCTTCATCTTCATGAAAAGGAGCTACAGAGAATCCCCAGATTGTTGCAGCCAGTGCAAAATACTTTTCCTGGCTAGGTCTACACTGAGGCTCAAAATAACTAGCGTGTTTGTCATGTTTTATACTATTACAAAATATAGGGGATATAAATAACACAGCACCTGGAGTTGGTTCAGTGATACAACTTGTCAGCAGTTCGAATGAACCTGAAACATTTGAATAATTGCCAAGGACATTTCAATTAAGATATTGTCCTTGGTTTATATCTATCTATCCTCCTTTCTAGAGATGCTGGACAATGTTGTATGTGCTGTTTGTACTTCTTGCCTAATAGCTATCAAAATTTATGTGAGATAGAACCAGCCTATTCATCCTAGCTGACCTTCCATGTGCCTGGTCTTGGCAAAACAATTCTAAAGGAAAGATATAGCATTCAAGCTAAACTGTAGAGGACATGATCAATTAAGGATGGGGTAGGAGAGATATAGAGACTTGTTTTTTTCTGGAAGAGCTAAAGCTTTAACTAGCCATACTGTATTCTGAAGAGAAGCTATTTTATATAGGAAAGCATAGGGAAAAAAATAAGTCACATCACTTTAACATCTCTGCTACCTCTTCTAATTTAATGTACCCTGCTATAAAATTATAAATCCAGTATGTATCATATTATTTTTCACCACACAGACATGTAAAAATAAAACATTAAACATTGATATAGTGTTTTCTAGATAGTCATTATTCTAGAGATCTGCACCCAGCAAAATGAAGGGTTTGTTTCTTAGCTATAATGTTTGCGATGGGAAGCTGGAAACTATATAGGTGTATCTTACTTTTCATCAAAGGTATAACTCACTAGATCCATTGGACTACCAATCCATTCTGAGATTGATAACCCTATTTAATCTGGAGATTTTAATATTCATGCTGAGGTTCTGGAGGTTACAATATCAATTCATTTGTTCCCAACATTTCAGAAAGGCATCAGGTTGAAGATGTCTGTTACAAAGCATATATTTTTATTGTAATCTTTGATGTGGTACATGGAAAGTGCCAGAAAACTGAAGAAGAACCTATGTTATTTTAGTCTTTAAAAAAGGGAAAACAGTAAAAAGAAACAGAAAACTACAGACCAATCAATTTGACGTTAATACCTGAGAAGATAATCAAGCAGTGGATTTGCAAACATTTAGAAAGGAACAAGTGCTTAGTAAAAGATAGCAAGGAGTTGTTAAAAATAGACAGTGTTAGACAAATTGTACTATTTTACAAAGTGACTAGTAGACCAAGGGAATGGCGTGACTTAGATAAGAAGATAGTAAGAATGCTTTTTCTGATTTTCAGGTAAACATAAAGTTTGGAGGAAGGCAGTGGGTGAGGGGAAACTTCAACCAGAGAAAATAGGCACAGAATTTGGAAAGATCTTGATAGATGTTAATATAGGATCAGTGATAAATGTAGGCTTGTACACTTATCTGGAAAAAGAAAACAATTATTGAGGTCAGGATAGGCAATACCTGATTCAGTAGTAGGTGTGGGGGGGGGGGGGGGGGGACTGGACATCCTAGCAGATCATAGCTGAATATGAGCCAGCAGTTTTCTTCAGTTGCCAAAAGAACTGGTGCAATCTTGCATTTCAATAGAAAAAGAATGTTGCAAGATAGTGAAGTGCAGGCTAATCCTATGAAGAACAGTTAAAGGAATGAGGAATGTTTCCCCTACTGAAGATAAAGCTAAAGGGAGGGATTATGTCTTCCAATATTTGAAGATCTGTCAAAACAAAGAGAATGTGGATTTATTACCCATGGTGCCTGAGTGTAGAACAAGAATTACTGATGAGGAACTTACAGAAGGAACTCAAAATTTGCCTAAACATTTGTTTAGAAAGTACTAAGATTTCCACATTGGGTGGGAGATTAGACTCAAAGATCTCCAGGTTCATCCAACCCCATGATTCTGTATCTTACCGTAGATCTGTGAAACATTTTCTATGAATTCAAGAAGAGGGCATGGATCAGGCATTCTCATAATTCCAGATTCCTATTTAGATCTTGAAAAAGCATATGGAGGTGTAGAAAAGTGAGACAGCATGATTCCTAAAATTGATATGTTTTAATGGAAAGGATTACCATGCTAAACCTACTCTTCATAACAGAAATGCTTGAAACATGGAAATGTTCTTCTAGAATTCCAAGAAATGAGAGTGTTATTCTCTACCATTTTAAAAGAAATCTAACTACATATCTTCATGTTTGTTTAAATTCCTTCATAACTAAATGAATAAATCAAAGTAACTTAGAATCTTTTATTTTTTTAACAATTTCATTGACTTTTCAGATTGTTTTTAAGCTGTTTTTTAAACTTTAAAGGAAACACTGATACTGCGTTCCAATTGGTAAAACAGAAAATCCCCTTCAAATATAACCGACCCGTAGAGGAATGGCTGCAGGAAAAAGGTAACCATTGTTAAAACTTTCATTTTAAATCCATTTGATTCTAAACCCTCATTTTTAAAGCCTGCAAATAAATGTTTCTTAAACTGGAATCGCCTGCTGCATAAATGACTTTTAATTTTCATTATAATTTGTGTCAACCTCCACCTGCCATATGTTGATAAATCATGCTATAATACATTGCTATTAAAACCAAGTTAAAGGGACGAAATTCAAAGATTACTATTTAAAAAAATCAAAGAAAGAAGCAAATGCTAAGACACCATTTTAAAAAACCAAAAAGGAAAATGAAACAACATGTATTATGGCTACATAACCACTGCATGAACTATTTTTAAATAATATAATCTACATCTATCTATGTATCTATGTAACAAATAAAGAGAAATAGACTGAATCATTGGGAATGTAATTCAACCAGTTCAGATAGTGTCCCTAAACCAATTTTTCCTATTTTAGGAAATTATAAATTGTGGATAGATTCCCAAACACGAATGGTATTGCTAATTAAGAAAAACAATAGAAAAACAAAAACATACCAGTAGTAGGGCCTGGATGAGAAGTTTAGATTAGAGCATAATTACAAATTCTACTTTCAGTCCTAAGCGGAAAACAAGGCTGTCCTATATTAGAGCCTGCAAAAAGTGTGAAATGCATTTTTTCTTCTTCTGTTAAATCATGTCTGATTCTTGGAGACTGCAAGGGCAAGTTTGTGCTGATTTCTTGGCAAGGTTTTTCAAAAATGGTTTGCCATTGCTTCCTTCCTAGGGCTGAAAGAAAGTGACTGGCCCATGGTTATCCAGCTAGCTTTGTATCTAACTGGATGGGAACTCATGGTCTCCAAGTTTATAGCCAAACACTTTAACCAGGGAGGTAATAAACTCCAAAGTCAATAGTCAGATGTGGTTGCTAAATTGTGTTATACAACTGACCTAAAACATTCTGTTAGTGCTATGTTTGATAATTAAGGTGGCAGAGTAATAAACAATGATTGAAACCCCTGAATGTGATTAGTGTCTATGAGAACAGATTTTTAAAATGTAAACATATTTAGTCTAAAACAGGGGTGTCAAACTCAAGACAGATCTTAGATCTGGCCCAAGGGGCCGCCCTGTGAACAGCGAAGGATTGGCCTCTAGTGCCTCTGCCCGCAAAAATGGGCTTCCAATCTCCGTTTTCTGCTGGGACGGCCTCCTGAAACCTTCTGCCAGTGAAAATGGAACTTGCATGCATCCCTCCAAAGCTGCATTTTCTCTGGCAGAAAGTTGCAGGAGGCCATCCCAGCTGAAAATGGCGATTGGGAGCCTCTTTTCACTGGCAGAGCGCCCAGGCCACTCCAGGCACTCCAGACACAAGTAGGGTCAAGTTGGCCATGCCCACCCTGGCCCCCAAGATCAGACACAACCCTGATGCAGCCCTCAATGAAATCAAGTTTGACTCCTGGTCTAAAAAGTGGATAACTATCTTTTGCTAATCTCAAAAGGATAAAGTCCCTTTAACAACAGTGCCCTTGCTTTTGTTAAACTGGTGCATGCCCAATGCTGTGATGAAGCTCATTTGCCTGAAAACCTGCTGTTGTTTTGTAGTTTTTTTCTCCTCTCTATAAGTTTCACTTTTTTGTTTGCTCTTTTGTTTCTTTATTTCCTAAGCCTGAGATGAGCATGCTGAAAGATATTTACATGTCTACTGTCTTAAGAGTTCTGAAATTGATGTTTTTGCCATTGTCAGTGGTGATGGTGGTGATGACGATGAACACAATTTGATGATGTTGCTTTGTTAAAAGACAATCACTTAAGACAAGCACAATCTAAAGAAAACCACTGAGATCTCAAACATTTTTAGGGAGCAGTGGGGTGAGGTAGGCCTTGACACGGAGCATCCTAAATCCATGTTGTACTATTTAGTAGGGCTGTACACACTTTAAAAAATGATTCCAAAGATCTGCTTTGACTTTATGCAAAAATAAGCACAGCACCAAGGCAATCATACATCTCTTTTAAGCATTACGTAAGCATTACATTAAGGATGGACTTTTTAATTCCATTCATTAAAGCTCCCTCATAATTTTTCAAGTTCATACAAAAGGCTGAAAAAATAAATGCCATATAAGCAGAGAGGTCGCATGCTTGGGTAAAGTCCAAAGCATATTCCTTCCAAATTGTTTTTTGGAACATGACAGCCCTACTATCTAGCTTATCATAGAATGGGATATACTATCATTTTCTATAATATCAGATTTTTTAAAACATGGTATTTTGATTCGATGTTATTTGGACATGTGATAAACTATAGAGTGGGGGAAAACCATACCGTTACCAGCCTGTCATTTATTCACTCATCTACACTTTGCCAACCCATGCAGTCATTCATTTATTTCTTAATGCATCAAGAAAGTCTTATGTCAGACAACCTCGTAAAGATGATGAGTGAGAGGATAGATAGCTATCAAAATGGAACATGATAAATTGATGGCTGCCAAGATGGATGGATTGCTCTGTCAAAAAGAGAGCACTGAGAGTAGCTATCTGCCAGACGTAATGTACCCATAGTAGAATAATTTACAATTAACACAATGGATGCCATGCCAAGAAAGTTGGGTGTCCTTGAATCCCAGCAAAATTAATGGCACTTAAGTATATAATGAAATTCTTAAGTGGTTTTTTTTTTAAGTGATTGAATTGTGGGGGTGGAATTAAAAGTGTGTTTGCAAGGAATATGAAAGCTGTTTCTCCATTATAGGAAAGAAAGAAGGGAAGAGAACAAAATGATATTTATCAAGAATTTACAATTTAAATGGATTGTTCCTGTAAATTTTTATCCAAAAAAATCTATTAATTCAGCAATGTATTATTTGTATGAACATTTACATAGGAATATGGTCAATTTAATTAACATGCATAAAGATCTATCAATCAATTAACTTCACAAATTTTATTTGTATAAAATCAAAAATTAGAATTAAGTTTAATTCTCTTGTGTTGTTGGCAGTTATCTATTTATAACTGCATAACAGCTGATAAACAAAAGGAAATTCAATGTATTTGGGCTTTCAAGTGTTTAAGAACAATCCAGTGTTTGAATTACTATTACCATTATACATAACTTTTCATTATACATAAGCCTTCTCCATTCTACCATCTTCTGAGTAGTTGGGGATTGTAATTCTAGAATTCCCAAGTACCATAACCACTGGAAATGCTAGCTGGAAATTCTGGTTATTGCATGCCACGCACACCCAGAGGCTGTCAGATTAGGGCAAGGACATAGTCTTTATACTACAGTTACACACCTAGCATTGTAGTATTTCTGCCCACTGCTATCATGTGTCTGTGAGTAATGAGAGAGAGAAATAGACAGAGGGATAAATCACATGTTTTCATTTGATGATACATAGAAAACAAATACCAACTTTTGAACTGTGAAGAGAGAACTGGGACTACTGTAGCCATCATATATAGCCAAAAAACTATCCTAAATTCTGAAATGCTTGCTGTTTCATGTTTTCCTTTTCTTTGTAGAATAGGAAACATTAAAATGCAATGTATAATGATGCAGAGATCTGCTGCTACCCATTCCTGGTTCATGAGTGAAGCCAGGACAAATAATCATTATCAACTCTGGGTAACAATAAAGTGGTTATTTAAAGACTGCTCAGTGCTCAGTATATTGACAGCAGCACCCAAGTGTGGGAGAGGGTTACATACTGCCATTCATTTTCAGACTGAAAAAATAAGAATTAGAAAATAAATATAAATATATTCCAGCATGCATGTTGTTGTCTGTGGCAAGATGCAGTATATCACCCAACTTAGAATAAATTGGCAGTTGATGGCTGATTTGGAAGCAAATGGCACAAAACTACCTCATCCATCAGCTGCTGATTTTTGACAAGTTTTAGACAGATTTGTAGCTTTAACTTCCAAATGTAACATTACAAACCAGATCCATACATTCTGTAGTGCAATTGGTATTCTGATGGCCAGACTTTTCTTTTTTCTTTTTCTTTTTTAGATTTCCTTTACTCTTTTGTCAATAGGAGAACCAGATTATACGGACATTTTTAAATTCAAAACCAAATCAAATTGATTTTAAGGGTTACAAGTTATACTTAACCTGGATGAAATAGTGGCAAGCACTGCTTGTCTTTTATGTAAAGCCCACAAACGGAATAAGGAGAACCTCATGTACAGCTAAACATGTCCTTGTTTATCAATCACTTGTTTAATTATGTTTGATGTTATAATGGGACTGAGCAAGGAGACTTAAGATTCATCCTTGAAATCGATCTGTTGCAACATCCCCACAGTCATACGATCATGATTTGGGCACTTGGCAACAGCAGTCACATGATTGGCATTTGCGACCTTGACTGTTAGCTTCTGGCAAATAAAGTCAATGAGGAAATCACAAGTTGCAATCATTTGATGTTGCATTTAATGACCATACACAATGCATTTAACAACTACTGCCAGAACTGCCATCATAAGTCAGCAAGGTCACATGAGTTTAAACAGCTTTAAAACCTGTTGCTTAGTGATGGAGTTCCAATTTCCACAGTTAACTGACTACACATTCTACATTCTCTTAGTCACAATGAGCTCCCAGTATTACAGTGGTGCCTTTGAAATAGAGAATATGTGCAAAACTGTTTACTAACTTTCTTATTTTCTAAGAATGAGATCTATCACATTAGGAAAGACAGAGAGAGGTCTGACCTGACATTTCAGCTATGCATTTTTCCTCTATACATTTTTTTTCTTTTTGCCCATTGTTTTCCACTTGATCATCAAGTAAAAATATTTCACACAAGTGGTTTTAGTTAAAAGCAGTTTCTCCAGAGACCTGTGATTGTCCTTTTAGCAAACACACACTTTTAATGTCAGTGTTTTGTTATAAAATGTAGCTGTGCTGTGTGTTGCCTGCCTTGTCAGCTATGCTAGAAGAAGAAAATCATCAAGAAGAAAACACGTGCATTTTCTTTTTCTTTTTTAAAAAATTAGGTCATCTGTTTCAGGTAATTGCATCTAGGATGTTGGAACAATATGCATGGTTATATTTCTAAAACAAATCAAATAAAGCTTTCTCATTTGCTTACACATGTTCAGTTGCTCTCCCTCACACACTAGCACCAATGGAGTTTCACAGCCTTTTTGAACTCCTATTGGAGGACACAAATTTTGGAAAGCAACAGTGAAGTAAATATTTAAACCTCTCTTGCCCATTCATAATGGTTTTGAACTAGATTGGGTTTTTACATGCAATATCAGCCATAAACGAACAGCAAAGAGATTAAATGCAAATTTGGTTTGGTTTTATACAGAGTAGATCTATGAAGTAATTTAATGAACATAGCATGACTGAAATACCTAAGATTGAAATACCTAAGATGGAAGTTAACTGAAGACTAATTCCAACAGTTATTAAATTAATTTATTGGATTTTGCAGCTGTATTACGCCAAACAGGCTCTGGGTGTCTTAAAACTATTTAAAGTACATAGTCATAATCATTAGGACAGAGCCAAATAAATAAAATATGCAAAAATGTTATGGGCTCCACAAGTACTGTAACCCCAGGCCTAGAAACAGAGCTAGGTGTAAGAAACTTCTAGAACCTTTTGAGAGTAGTAATCATAAGCTCCGGGGATACTGTTCCAAGGATCCGTGAGAGAGAATGTACTAAATCTGGGATTAGCTCTGAGTTTTCTAGATAACCTAAGTATTGTCAAAGGCAGTGGTTGATACTAAGGGTGTCTACCAACTAAAAATAGAAGAAATTAATTAAGGAAAGTAAGATGCAAAATCTGTCCTTGACACATTCAATTTTATCTCAAAACAAACTAGGCAAGGTTCTTTGAAAGGTGAAGCATTAACTGATGGTCTCTCTCACATGATATGTTCAAAGTCAAAATAGTTGTCATGGATCCTGTAATTTGAATTACAAAATTAAGCAGGGATTGGACTCAATGGCCTAACATATCTCTTTCAATTTCCAAAGACATTCCATAATTCTTTCCATTTAAAAACTGCTGATACTCTGAGAAGTATTTATAGTTCTTCAAAGGAAGAAATGTCACTCAGAATATGTTGGATTTGCATATAGGATTTGTTGGAAACTCCTTAAATCAAATACATATGTTCCTAAGATTGTGTGGCAGATACGAAGGGCAGCTGCACAATTCCAAGAAAAAATATAACTATCTGAAAGTGTTTCCAACAGGTGTACCTGTTTTTTTTTTACAAATCACATATCTCCCTTAAGTATGGCACAGCCCTAAAATATATTTCATGAATGATAAGTCTTCCATGGTACATTCAACAAGTGCAATTTCTTCTCTAAATACTATATTACAATTATACTCTACCCATCTTTTGGTGCTCTCCAAAGGGTGGGCATTGTAGTATTTTTGTCTTTGGTTCTCCTTGGATTGTTAAAGAAACTAAAAGTACATTTTAGTGGAATCCACTAATTTTGTTTTGTGTTATTAGACATGAAGGATGTCATTATCAGAATACCAGTTGGGTCTCATGGCAGTCTTTGGTCAATAGTTAGGGAGGGAAATTAGAGTAAATTATATACATAACTTTCCAGTTTCTAGAAGTCACTTTTTAAAATGCTATTTTCTGGCTGTTGATCATAGAATCTGGTCATAAGTTTTGAAATATCATTGCCTCTCGGCAACTTTTGTTTCTGGATGCCAAGAAAGGGATAGAGCACAAGGGGAATATTTGTGGTTTTTTTTTAAAAAAAATAAGAGTGGCTCTGTTCTGTATTGTGTAAAGCCATAAATGTCCAAAGAAATTGAGAGAAGAGTTTTTTTCAGAATATCAAGGCTGGTTGAGCCATTTCAAACTGCAAATCTGAATTACTTAAGTGTTATTATAGTTTTTCAAGCTAGGACATTTCCCCCACTCTCTATATTTTGACCTCCTCGGGGGAACGAATTAATTCCTCTCAGAAACATACCCATTCAAATATGGGTAAGTTTTGAGCAGAAGTCCTAATTCAGGTGTAATTTTGTGGCAGTTGAATAGCCTATACATTTCCCCCTATGGAAAAGGCAGAGACTGATAAAGTATCAGGTGTCATTTTCCAGCTGATAGCACTGCATGAGAATTAAAAGAAAAATTCAGTTAATGTTATAGTATCTCTGGGGGAAAAAAAGATCCTGTGAATAGAATTGTATGTCCAAATTTAATGAGCCCATCATAATTTTCCATGTGATAGCTGATACTATCATGTCATTACTTGAAAGAGTTTGGAATGAACATGGTCTTATCATTACAATAATTTCTATGACCTAAAAATGTCTATGAGATTATCACTATAGCAATTTTTTTTATTTTAAAAAAATTTGAGCCTAGCCAGATTTACTATTCTCTCACACAACAGTTTAATGCAACATGCCACTCCCAAGCTACATGCAACAAATCCATATGATAAGGATAAAAGGGCATGAGAGGAAAGAGATAATAGAAGAGATTTCAAAAATTGTGATTTAATTGCTTTCCAAGGATAAAGTATATCAATCCTTTCATTTTTCTTCTTCTTTTAATTTGCTGTTTTTACATTTGTACACTAGTCCATCTTTGCTTAATGAAGATCTGTTTCTTGTTACGGTAGTGGAGAGCACATGAAGATGTGCATTCCGCTTCCTCAAAATGCTTCCTCCTCTCAGCATTTCCCATAAACATCTACTTTGCTTGGTTAGCTAGGATCCTCCTTGGGAATAGGAATTCCTTTCAGATACATTTCTTCTCTTGTCCCAATTCTCTTCCCCATGACCCATCCCGTCACCATTAGATGATGCAACACCGCATCACCACTTGACTTCAAGACCTGCCACGACGACCAAAATTGGTGAGCTCCCCCTCCTATTCTGATCTACTTTAATCACAGGGAATCAGTAATTGGGTTTAGATTCTATTTTATGACACAGTAGAATTTGGCATTTATCCGGAAAGAACAGAGAAAGAAAGTGGTGAGTGTGCAAGGGAGGAGGGAGGGAATGGACATGTGTGTGTAAATGTTGGGAGAAGTGGACTGAATGAAATAATACTAATTCCACTTTATTTTCTGAAATGTGGCTAGTATGGTTCTTTATTCAATGGACATTTACATTTAATACACTCTAAAATACATGAATAAATATTAAATCCAGATAAGCTTACATATTGGATTCATCATATAAAATTTATAGCTGTCATTTGGAAAGCTGAAAGCAAAGAAATCATATATAGAAGGAATGTAATTCTTGAACATTTCTGTTAATTTTCCAGAAATGATGAGGAAAGAACAAGAGAAAAGTTCTGTCAAAGTTTGAATTGTCTTTTCTTTTTGAATTAATGGGATGAATACATCCTTGATTTCTATGTAGAATGAAGAATTGGCAATTATTTCTGGACTCCATTCTGACTAGAATTGAATTCCTCCTGCTTTCCTTTAAGGAATTGGGAAATTCATTTCTGAAATCTCAAAGAAGATTCACTATGATGATTCTGTACAATGAAATTTGGGTTTCTGACATATGATTAGTACTGGTGAAGGAAAAACAATCCTTGGAAAAAATGGTGGATGGATATTGTAGAACCTGCTGACCATTCAGAGATCCTAGCAGAGCTCAGGTTCACTATATTCTCTCTACTCAAAATGTCCCTCCAATAAAATTGCTTACTAGTCAAAGCATAAGCTACTTTTCAAAGATCAGCCTGTGTTTAGAAACTGATACTTTAAAGAGAAGGCAAAGGCTATAAGAATCCTTCTCGCTCGGATTTGATTTTCTGCAGCAAAGGGATACTGGGTCTGATTTCCATAACTTCAGTGTGAGGTAGAAATGACTGCATTGAGTTTTACTTTGAAAGTGTGGTACCCGAGGAATACAATTGTTTGTCTCTACTAATTTTATTTTTATATATATTTTGTTTTCTTCAACAGAAATGATAATCCAATATTGTCTTAAAGCTGCACTTTATTTAAATGCAGATTATATCCTCATTCAGAGATATAGTTGTTTTATGTTTTAAGGAGTCATGAAACACACATTTATCCATCTTTTAATGCTATATCTTTTTCCAAGTCATAAGACAGGATTCAATCTTTGTTCAGTCCATGCAAGGATCCAATATTCTTCAATTCCATCATATGCAAAAATCAGAGTGGTTTCATTGAACTGAACTCTCTCAGATTCTCAGGAAAAATAACCCTGCAGAATGCTTGATCTTAAAACTGGATTGAGTTCATCATTTGGGTGAAATTTGGAATCCTGGCTTCTGCTAAATATGTTTACATGTATGAGAATAAATCCAAGAAAATCTGGGTCTATTGTTATTTGTTTGATCTGGTTTATCCTAATTTGTAACACAATGAGACAATTTTTTTGTAGTATTGCATTCCAGTCACTCAGCCATCACAATTGCCATCACCACCAATGTCAGAAAACTCGCTCTGATCTTCCACCCATTCAACCAGGATATAACATAAAACATTTTGGTTTTTAAAACGGGGGAAGAATTTTCCTGGCAATAACAATGTTCACCCCCCCCCCTTCACTTAGGACGACAGTTAACCATCTTCAACACCCAGGCTCAAATAGCCATTGGAGGAAAAGATAGAGGGCGTCTCTTCCAAGGTCAGCTTTCCGGTCTCTATTACAATGGCTTGAAAGTATTGAATATGGCAGCAGAAAACAACCCCAACATCAAAATCAATGGAAGTGTTCGGCTGGTTGGTGAAGTGCCATCTATTCTGGGGACAGCTCCCACAACCTCTATGCCACCAGAGATGTCCACCACCGTCATGGAAACTACCACTACTATGGCCACTACTACAACACGAAAAAATCGCTCCACACCTACTATTCAGGTAAGTTGAATGTTTTTTGCTCCTGTGTTTTCAGACCTTTTTCTTTTTCTTTTCTTTTCTTTTCTTTTCTTTTCTTTTCTTTTCTTTTCTTTTCTTTTCTTTTCTTTTCTTTTCTTTT